ACATATTATGAAGGCAGACCTTGTTTTAGGCAGACTGGGGTGTGTGATAGACTTAACTCCACGTAGTGCATCATGGGCAACATATACTCATACGGCAAAAAGCCTATTAACCGGCAGTTGACTTCTGACTTCAAACTACCATCACCCCACTGTATGTCGTATTCAACTAGTTCCAGAGTATTCACCTCTCCTTTTTTTCCAACTTTGTGTCTGTCTCTTTTACATCTTTGAAACACTCTTCTGTCCCCTTCTCTCTCAACATTTTTTCACTTCGATATTTCTTCTTCTCTGTGAGGCCTGAAGTCACCTAAAGGCCTAATAGTAACTATCAAAATGCCTCCAGTTTGATATAATTAAAGTTTGCACAACATAAGACACTTATATTACTTATGAACTCGAGTTTTAGGGATGGTCTAAATGATTGAAATAAATCAGCTCCACCACTGTACCCCAGCAACTAGTTTTAAAACCTCAGAACACCTCCACTCTCTTAATCATTTTAATTGCGCAGACCCTCACAGGGAGCAGCTTGGTTAAATTCGAATAAAGCCTATTGAAATACAGAACTCGAATGGGATCTTTAAATCATTGCAGTTTTAATTTAGTTCATTTCGTGAATGACACTCCTTGTATTAGCAGTGATATTATCAGGCGCCTACGTTGTCTTGAATATATCAGCACTCGCTGCCATTTTGGCAAGAGAAAGTTTTTTCTTGACATCGAAATGTATTCCGATATATATATATATATATTTATATATTTATTTATTTATTTATTTATAAGACAATGATTAAAAATCCTATTTTTGAGCAAATTTAATTAATCGCTGAAAATATTGCTTGATTACTCGTCGGAATTAAATTTTAGGTAACTTTAAATGATTAGGAGGTGGAAGCATAAACGCTTTTTTAATTAATAAAAATAACTTATTAACTCTTGAATATTTTCCAAATTCTTCTTTTTTAACTATTTTATTAAGATATTTTTGACTTTGTGCAAATATTATAATTATTCCATTTAATTAATGCGCATTATTATATCGTTCAATCAATATTTTCGCATTAACTTAATTGCTAATTAATAGCTAAATTAGCATTTAATTACTAAGATTGTATTTCATTGGTAAAACTATGACTTGGTTGAGAGATAATACGTTTTAGTAATAATTACATATTTCATTTTTTCTGAAAATGCGTTTGTTAATTTCAAGATTTTATTAAAATGACACTTTTATAGAAGTCTTTTTATTTCCTCTGCAGATACACGATACAATGCGTCTTGCCAATCAATATGTTTCTAGAAAAGATTTACATATTCCTCTGGTTTTGGCATATTATACTGACAATCGTCACTATCACCTCTCTAGTCAGTTGGCTAAAAAGACTTTTTTGGCGTCGATCGCGTGTCAAATTTATTCGACATTACCTCAAGGTAGTGAATGCCCTACCACCGATTCTTGAGCCCAGAGATCGTCAACGAACTCGGCAATTTGTCGAGGAATATCTCACCCCTGACGCCTTCTTCCTCATTCGTCTGATTGGTGCCAATAGCGGGGACTTTCTAGCAAGTGAATTGACACATCAACTTTGGTTAAGCTTTATTGGCCGAGCTGTTCCCGCCATGTCCCTATCTTCTTCAACTCCCCAAGGTCGACTATGTCCCAAGCATGCTATCTGCTCCTGTGATTCCTGTTACTTCGGTGGAAGTCGCTATAAGTCCTATGGTAGCTCCAAGGCAACTGAAGGTCGCATGTTCGGGGTGAAGTATTACCCTGGAGATCGAAGTTCCCCGAAACACAAAATAGGTCCAACCATTTTTCAACAAATCCAAATGAGTGGTGATCCTATTAGTAACAGACAATGCGGCTGCGAGGACGTAGAGGAGGTGGCAGAATCGGTCGAAAAACCAATACCCGGTAAACCGAATGGAAACAACTCTGAAGACATTGTATAGAGTCAACCGTGCTCAATCTAGTTTTACCCCCGCAATTCTTCCTGTTTCTTCTTGCCTCATTCTAGGGGCCTTAGATGTGACTTGTTGCCTAATCTAAGTGGGTTATGTGTATATTTTTGCATTTCTTCCAAATAATCTGCGTCACTTGAACTAAGGGCATTCTCTCCACTCTCTGCAATTTCACCGTCACTTTTCCCAACTTGTTTATTCATATGCAAGTTATGTATGTTGTTAAGCTTTCCCATCTTAAAATCCCGTTTCCTAGCCCCTTTCAGATGCCTACGCCTACAACCTCCAAACTCCATTTAGAACTATGCGTTTTCATTATGCATATATATGCGACTCTCTCTTTTTCATTCCCGAACAATCATCAACATCAGTATTTCCAATTTTACTGTGAATAAAGGAGGCAATAAAAAGGTTTATTTTTTCTCTCTCTTTTCACGCAATTTTTGTATCAGTTTTGAAGGCATTGAATGGAGAGGGGGTAGGGGGTGGGGTAGGGTTTTGGGAGAAATCCCAAGAGAAATTTATGAGGTTTAAATTATTGCCCATGGGTAGGTTCTTGTTAGGCGGTGGCGATGAAGACTTAAATTGCCCTTTTCTTCTCATTTTTGAGTGTCTAATTTTCTCCCCAAAATTACAAATGAGGTATATTTAGCCAGAGAGAGAGAGAGAAAGGAAGGATGGATGGATGGAAGGAGGGATTACTGGGTGCGGAAGAAATGAAAGTTTGGCAACATTATTTAAGACCCTGTAATTATTATGGCATCGCAAATTTGAGGACATATGTTGTGTTGCAGAGAAGTGAAATCTCCACTTGACCCATTTTAAAGTAATAAAATCACTTTACCAAGCAATTGTAGGCATATGTTGAGTAGTTAGAGGTCTTGGAGATAAATGAGTCAAGAAAATCTATTTCCCATAAAACCCGCAAGGATATTGTTGATTGGTTAAGAGCCGGGGAGACCACAATATGTTTCACTAGCTACTATCTTGGCTTACACTAAAAGTTTTGAAGATGAATGAGTCACATCCTGTTTTTTTCTTCTTGTTAACTATTATTAGCATTTGCGGTCAGATAAGCAGTTCATTCTAATAGAAACAGCAGAAGCGAAATGGCTTTTGTCCACGAAACGGGCAAGGGTTGCCTTCGCCATAAGAGAGGATGGTTATAAGGGGGCTCTTAGAAGCACACGCTTACCTGCAGTAAAAAGGGGTGGGCGATAGACTTATCTCCACGTGGTGCACACTGGGCAACGCATTCTCATACGGCAAAAGGTCTATTGATCGGCAGTTGACTTCTGACTTCAAACTACCATCACCCCACTGCATGTCATATTCGACTACTTTCATAGTACTCACCTCATCTTTTTTTCTACCTCTATGTCTGTCTCTTTCACATCTTTAAAGCGCTCTTCTGTTCCCCCCCCCCCCTCTCAACTTTTTCACCTTGATGTTCTTTCCAATCTGTGAAGCCTGAAGTCAACCAAATGGTTAATGATGACTATCAAAAAGCATGCCATTTGAAATAAATAAATAAACCTCCATTAAAAAAGCAAACAAGAATTTCATTGTAGTGAATGAGGAAAACATCTAAAAGTGGCTTTATCTAAGTCTTCTCTGGTTAAAAGATGGAAAATTATTGATGAATTATTGATTTTAAACTCTTCCCAAGAAAAGTTAAAGGGAGTATGGAGAAAGTAAGGAAAATGCAAAACTTTCCTCTTAAATCTAGTGAAATTCGACAAACAACAGGTAAATCAGTGGTTGTTTAATCAAAATATGCAGCTAAAATGACAGAGAGAAGTTAAAAATTTACCAAAATGCAAGGATCGTTGGATTTTAGCCTACTGAATTTAGGAGGGGGGG